ACAGGCTAAAGGTAAGGAGGAGGCGAGCTCGGTAGCTACAAAGGCCGCTCCTCCCCAACTTTCCAGGTTGTCTCCCCTGTCTCCCGAGCTCTTGGCGACCCCGATGCCCAAAGATTTCAAGATCCCTCCCCTGGACAAATATGACGGGTCTTTTGATCCTAATGATCATGTGGACTCCTTTTAGCCCAAGATGCACCTAGCTGGGGTTGACAAGCCTTGCATGTGCATGGCTTTCTCCACCACTTTCAAGGGGAAAGTTCGGACATGGTACCGGAACCTCGCGCCGGGGTCGATCAAAAGCTGGGCACAGTTCGCAGAGTTGTTTACCCCACATTTCATCACCAACAAGAAGTGGCCGAGGTCACAGGAGAGCCTCCTCAACGTGGTTCAGGGAGAAGGGGAGTCGATTAGAAGTTACATCAAATGCTTCAACGACCCCTGCCTGCAGATCCCTGACTTAGACCCGGCGGCAAGACTCACGGCAGCCAAGAAAGGCATAACTCACAGAGATTTTAAATGGCATGTAGTAGCTAATAAATCTAAAGACATCACAGAATTCCTCAAGCTACCTAACCAATTCATTGGAACCGAAGAAGAAATGAACTAGAAGACTGACAACCCGACAGAAAAAAGAAAAAGAGATATTGACAACACAGGTAGTGACGGGCACAAAAGAAGAAAGTGTAAGTCCTCGAGCAGGGGGGAAACAAATATGGGAGTCGATATCGTAAGTCAGGTCGGTGCTCCAGGACTCCATCTGTTGAAAGAACGAACTACACACCTCTCAATGCTAAGCGAGGAGAAATCCTAATGGCCATCAAGGACTCCTCCTTTGTCAAGTGGCCTCCTAGGTTGGGGGGGGATCCTGTAACAAGAAACCGGAACGTCTACTGTCATTTCCACAGAGACCACGGACACAGTAAGGAGAACTATAGGAATCTCCATGACGAAATAGAGAAGCTCATCTGCCGCGGGTACTTGAAAAATTTCGTACAGTGAGAAGAAAGAAGCCAAACAGATCGGTAGGCAGACCTCTAGGAAGACCAGAGAAGGAATGCCCCCGAGTCCAGCGACAGGCAGAACGAACAATCGCCACGGCAGTTGCCCGAGGAGAGATCGATCCGCGGGGTAACCAATATGATTACTGGCGGGTCCATCATCGCGGGGTGTACTTCGGAAGCAGGACGAACCTTAGTCCGTGAACTAGAAAACGAGGAGTAAAACCCGCCAAAGCGACCTCAACCAATCTACTTCACGGAGGACGATGTGCACGGAATCCAGTATCCTCATGACGATGCTCCGGTGATAAAACTGAGGCTCAACGACTTCAAAGTCAAGCACATCCTAGTGGACTCGGGTAGCTCAGCGGACATATTGTTCAAGGACACCTTCGACAAGCTGCAGCTCCAGAAAAGCGACCTAAAGTCGACAGATACTCCCCTGGTAGGCTTCAGCGGCGAGGAAGTTAAACCTCTCAGGCGAGTCTCAGTACCCGTAGAGGTTGGCACGTGGCCGAATATCGTGAGGTTCGAGCATACGTTTCTGGTGGTCGCAATTCCCTCTCCTTACAATGCCATAGTAGGTCGACCCATTATGCATGCCTTACTTGCTGTAGTATCCACCTACTATCTGGCAATGAAGTTCCCAATGGATTATGGGGTAGGGGTCGTGCGAGGTGACCAGCTCGAATCTCGCAAGTGCTACGTAGTCACCCTCAAGGGGAAAGCAAAGCTAGCGGCTGAGATTGAGCTCAAGCAACCAACAGAGTATGCCGACGAGCGAGCTGCACCAACAGAAGAGACGGTTCACATCCCAGTCTCAACCAATGACCCAGCCAAGACTCTCTAGATCGACACTTCGATCAAGGAGCCACTTCGCTCTCAGCTAGTAAGTTTCTTATTACAAAATTTAGGTATATTTGCTTGGTCTGCGATTGAGATGCCCATAATAGATTCCAAGATTCTAACTCATAAGTTAAATACTGATCCCTTAGTCAGGCCAGTTAAACAGAAAAAGTGCAATTTCGCCGCAGAACGCTAGAGGATAGTCGATGAAGAGGTCGGAAAGCTCTTAGCGGCAGACTTCATCGGCGAAGTCCATTACCCGAGTTGGGTAGCTAACCCAGTTTTGGTAAAAAAGGCCAACGACAAGTGGCGCATGTACGTCGATTACACCGACCTGAATAGAGCCTGCCCGAAAGACTGCTTCTTGCTGCCCAAGATTGACCGCCTAGTGGACGCGGCCACAGGGCATGAGTTGTTGAGCTTCCTCGACGCCTATTCTGGTTACAACTAGACCTATTCATGGGCCAGGTAGCCCGATGGCCCGACCCGCACCCTTGTCGGGCTTGGTCATGTAATTAGGCCCGTGGGCCTGACCTCGGGCCTAACACAGTAAGCCTGACTATGTTTCGGATCGGGCTCGGGATTTGTCAAAAAAGCCCAACCCGACTCAGCATTATATATTTTATAAAATATATAATATGTATTTTATATATTATATAAAATATATAAATAATATAATATTTATTAAAATATATATTTATAATTTAATATATACATTTTTTATATCATCTGGATCCCGACCCCGAGAAGAAGACGGGACCCCCTCTCTGGAGGTCGGTCCCTCCTCTCGAGCTACAGGTTCCTCAGGTCGAGATGGCCCGACTTCGGGTAAGGAGGTTTCTCCTAAGGGGCGACGAGGAGAACCACCTAGCGAGGAGCTGACCTCGCCAGCAGGAGCCAAGGACTGCACCTCGGCACCCTCAAGCCCACTAGAGTCACTAAGAAGCCTATCTATATTAGCACTAGACATATTGAAATAGGAAAAGGAAAGGAGAACAAAATAAGGAAGAAAAGACGAACTCACCAAAAAAGACGAAAACACCTCGGAACACAAGGGGAGATGTGGCAAGCTGAAGGACTTCGACGCGACCTCGAGAGAGCTCAATCACAAGATTTTTGGCGAAGAAGAGGGGCCCCTCGGCCCCCTATTTATAGCTCACCGCGCGGCGATCAACGGTTGAGACATGCTCGATCCAATGACTCTCATGAAAACCGGCTGCACAACACCCGATGACGAAATCGGTTGAGTGCGCTCTTTAACGTCCATGGAGTTTATAAACAGCGTGACGTCTGCGCGTACTCGGGACACAATCTGAGTCCTTTCGTGGTTGAGTCAGACAGTTGAACAGGCCCGGCCAGCGGTTCGCTCTTCAGATTGTCAGACCCCATGCCAAATCCACCTAGATCGTCCATGAACTCCTCGCACCGAGTTGAGACCCTTGGCACGCGGAGTGTGGGGCAATTGATGAAGGGTGATTTGGCGCGACCTAGCGAGAAGGGGACACGTGGACACGACCTGAGTAAGAGATGGCAGCTCAGCCTGGCAAGTCCAGTTCGCAACAATTGAACTCGGGTATTCAATCACCTCGGCACAGAGTCCCCTCGGCGCAGAGTCACCTCGGCATTCACTCCAGTTCGGAAGTAAAAGACCGAAGTATCAGCTCGGGGCTACCGACCCGGACCGCCACGCAACGTACCCGGAAGTCTCTCTAACAGACTCCGAAACTCATGGGATCACACCGCGTAATGGCAGGCCTAATCCTCTCCCTGCCTGGATTGGGCGGAATTGATAATCTTTATTAGCTGATAACGTTACTCCCCAATTAAAGCGGAAATGGATCCCATCAGGACGAAGATCCCGGAGTCGATCCACAAAACCCGCGAGGGCTCAACTATATAAAGGCACCAACCGCAATGACACAAAGTACGCGTGATTTTTCTATTTTCTAGCCCTCTAGCTCTCTAGCTCTCAAAGCTTTTCAGCTCGTAACACAATTTACTAACTTAAGCATCAGAACGACCTCGCTGAATTAGCCACCCCAGATTATTTGATTCGCTGTCTTGCAGATTCACCTAATTCGCTGCTCAATTGGAAGCCGAATCACCCACCAGTTGGGAGTAGTTAGATCGCGCTACATGATAACATCATGCAAACGACAAGAGTCTAATCCACAGCCGTTGATCACATCTAGCAAAAAAGTCATCGGCTTGTATAGCCAGCTGGATTACTTGTACTGCCTTCAAAATAAAAGATTCTTGACCCCACCATGTTGCTGACCTATGCCGTGTTAATTGGCAGATCTTGTCTACTCTCATGAGCAAATTTCATATACTGCAATCGCCTCATTTTAATCCAATCGATCTTGACCAAGATGATTATGATGTATAGAGTAAACGAAGAGTAGGTAACAAAATCAAACGGTGGCTAATGGTCTCGATCAGAAGAATATTCGTTTGGTACTAACGACAATATCTTCAGTAGCACTGATCAAGTGATCAATACAAACAACTTATTATTCCTCAAAAAATACAAACAACTTACTCGCAAACCCGGAAGTTTACTGGGAGCATAACTGTACCGTGAACTTAAACAGTCAACACCGTCGAAAGTCGTCGAGATTGTAATCCAAGCATATACTCCACTCCAAGCTGTCATGATCGTCGATGTCATAATTGGATGTATTGATGGTGTCTTCTTCGTCATCCGCACCCCACTCGTACAGTAAAAGTTTCAGCTTTTTTTGCAAAGAGAAACTTCCTGGAGGCAACTCCTCCATACTTTTATCATTAAGTATCAGGCTATCAGCGTTAAAAGGTGATCCACTTTTTCTGTATTTACAAAATTACCCTAATCGGTTAATCGCTGCACCGGACTGCACAGGGAGTAGAGTACCACTTACCCCAATCCTTCCCAGATTCTTTGTCTGCTCTCCAACGTATGAATCGTCCATCCATGATAGAAAGGGAAGCTTAGAAGGACGAAGACGAAAAACATGGCAAAATTATTACAGAAGATTGATTCTTCTTATCTAGGTACAATGGAACTTTCAATTTCTAGTAGTAGTAGTTTCAGCTTAATTCTGAGGATTTAGTGGTTCTGACAAAATAGCCGTGAAGGCGGCAGGATTCAGGTCGACTGTTTAGAAAATTTATCAGTAAATTTAGTGATTCTATCATGTCTTAAGTTCGATAAATAAAAAAGGGAGGTCTTGTTAGGTAGAACTCAAAATAAGCAAGCTTTTGTAAATAACTTGCCTTCTTTTTTTTTTCTATACTTCGTTTGCTAGGATGCGAAGTTGTGCCTGTGTATTAAATTTCATCGAGAATTCTAATTAAATAACTAATAAGCCTGGAGCCTGAGTCCCGTTACGTATCTGTATCTTCATTCGCCGTTTGTCTTTGTGTACCTTCTGAGTCTTTTCTTTTTGCTAGATATTCTTTAGAGTCTTTTGTTTTGGTCGTTAAGGAGTCTTGTTTTTCGTAGATATCTAACTTCGAAGAGGGGGATTTCTTATAACTGTTTTGAAACTTGAAAGGTCGGCGGTTTTAACCTATCGCTATAAGCCGCCCTTTTCGGTCTTTATTCCAGATTGGGAGAAAAATGTTATTTATTTGTTTTTTTTCCTGGAATTTTATGTTTTTGACGAGATGACATCCTTGTAGCCGAAGAAAGGGAGAAAAGAAAACGAGTTTTTTTTTTTTTTTTGCATTTTCCCTTTGTGCAGAGAATTTCCATGCGGCGTGGATATATCTTCCAATAGAACTGTTTTTAGCGGTAACTTAAAGTTTGGTTTATCGTGCTGAGAAAAGGCGTTTTTCCTCTTCTCCTTTGCTACGGTTCTCATGATGTTCATGATGTTTCGTTTGCTTTGTAGGTGATTTGTTGCATCAATTTGGTGTCTCTTCCTCTCAATTAGAGAACTCAAATTTGTTAAGCATAAGAGAATCTCTGTAGATTATAAAGTTGATGGGGGGTAAAAATTCAAGGTCGGCTAGTTGGAGGCAGTCTTCCTCGTTCAGGTCTAGTTCTTCATGGAATCATCAGGGTTATCCCCAGTCGCCAGATGCTCAACAAAATTCAAACTATGCTTCTCGGCAAAACTATGCACCACAGTATCATTATGCTCCTCCACCTGAAAATTATGATTCTCGGGCCCCGGATCCCAGAAGGAAATTGGAAAGGAGGTATTCACGGATAGCTGATAATTACAATTCCTTGGAGCAGGTTAGACCATACATTCTAGATGTATTTCTTCAAATGTCCTCTCTTTTGTATTTGAGAGCCATGCAATCTCAGTTCTGCTTATTGTTGCTTTATTGTTCTGGAACTTGGGATATCATGCTCCAGAAAGGGTTTTGAAAGAGGGGAAGAAGATGATCAATTTGCTTCATTTGTTACACATGAATTACTCCTGTTTGAAAAAGAAGAAAAACATTGGAACAGTGTACCAACTACCAAAGACTTCCATCTCGCTGAAAATATTTATCCTGGTGTGGCGGCCATTTTTTAATTGTACTACATTTGGATTTCTGCTCCATTAGGCTGATTGGAACTTGTATAACTGAGGTGGTTGATTTTATTGAGAAGTAGGATTTTGTGCAAAACATCTTGAGTTCTTACTGCAGCAACTTTCCGCTACTCAAGTAGCTCTAATACCAACTACTGTATGATTCATTAATTGGAAAGAGGAAGAAGAAGATTGATCATTTATTTTGCTTGTTATGTATGGATTACTACTGTTCAGAAATAAAAATCAGAACCACGCATAAAGGACTTCCATCTCCCTGAAACAACATATTCTGCTGTGGCCAATTGTGAACTGCAATACATTTGAATTTCTACTGTTATCCTCCTTAGCTATTAGTCTGATGAGAGCTTCACTTGTATAAGTGGGGTGGTTAACTTTATTGAAAAGTATGATTGTGAGCCAAACATCTTGAACTTGCAACTTTCCACTATTCCAACAGCTCTAGTAGCAATTGATGTACGGCCAATTCTTCTAATATAATTATATAAACTAATTTAGAATTCATATGACATGATGGTAGTCAACCCAACTTCAGCTTCAGTCATTATTCATTAATGACCTTACAACCTCCATAACTTAGTCACCAAAACACAAAGTAACAAGTCATTCAATTCAGCCACTTTAGTTGTTGTCAAATGGCCCCTAAGACTAAAAGAATGGGTTAATATGGTTTTGAGTCCAATCGTTGAGAATTGCATATTCTTTGTTGTGGAAGAATGGAAAATTCAGAAACTATGGTATTGATAAAAAAATATTCAAAAACTAGGGTTTACAGATGATTTTGAGACTAAAGGAAAGGATTCAAATTGCTGGGAATTGTAGAATATTTGCAGAACTGTGGAAGAATAGGGAATTCAAAAAAAAAAAAAAAACAAAACAAAATACAGAGATGGAACTTTGTAGAGATAGTTATTATGATGGTTTATGGGTTGAAGACATACTTAGTAGCAAGGTTCAAAATATCGCAATGTGTTGGTGTGTATTGTATGATGTGTATCAGTTTTCAGGGTGACCAAAATGCCAAATATCGGGATTTAGGATAAATGGCTATATTCAATGTTTCATACCTTTCTTACAGATGGGCTTGTTCAAACCTTAACACCTGGAACAATTTCTATCTATGAGTAACACCCCTATGAGTTGAAATGTTTAATACCTTTCTTCATATCGCACTCATCAATGCTTTGAACCATGCTTACAAGGTTATCCATAAAAAGCAAACAATTCTCTTTGTGAAGGAAACTATTAAAACTTCAGAAACTAGTATCGAGATTCTGGGATGAAATTTGGTCGGATGAAAGGTGATTAAATATTGGTACGGGTTATACTTGTGTTATCTTATGAATCTGAAAATTTTGAACTAATGTTCTTTCATTGTTGCTCATGGTGGTAATACTTTTCTTTTCTATATTGATAAGAAAATTGTCCTACTGTTACCCATAAAAAAGTTGTCCTTTTGTTGGCATTGCCTACTAATGGTTCCCCTCCCCCATTTTTTTTTAATATAGATAGTTCTAGAGCTTACAAAATAATGACTAAGATTTTACCTCACTTCAGGTCACTGAAGCTCTTGCACAGGCTGGCCTTGAGTCTTCTAATCTTATCGTTGGCATTGATTTCACAAAGAGCAATGAGTGGACAGGTTTGAATTCATTTATATGCTTTTAACTTCTTTTATGAGTTGCAAGAAAAATACTTTGACTTGCTCTGAAATTAGGTGCGAGGTCCTTCAACCGGAGAAGCCTGCATCACCTAGGAGACACGCAAAATCCTTATGAACAAGCAATATCTATTATTGGAAGAACATTAAGTGCATTTGATGAGGATAACTTGATCCCCTGTTTTGGATTTGGAGATGGTAATTGTCTATTAAGATGTTTTTAGTGATTTGCCACTAGATTTATCTTGATAACAAAGTCGGCTGTATTTGTCTTCTATGTTGGCAGCTTCAACACATGATCAGGATGTCTTCAGTTTCTATCCTGATGAGAGACTCTGTAATGGATTTGAGGAAGCATTGACACAATATAGAGAAATAGTTCCCCATCTAAGATTAGCAGGTTTTTATTTTCCTTTTGTTGCTTTATTATGATCTAGAAGCAGTTCATTTGGTCCTTATGGTTCCATGGTTATGTTTCCATGTGGCAGGACCAACATCATTTGCTCCAATCATTGAAATGGCAGTAACTATTGTTGAGCAAAGCGGTGGCCAGTATCATGTTTTATTGATTATTGCTGATGGGCAGGTGTACCATCTTTGCCTCATATTCTATTTTAGTTTAACTAGTGCTTTACTTTCCAAGTGACAATATTTTGAACAAGTTGTGAGGAAAACATCATGTTTGGCATTAGCCATCAAACTGTAGTTCATGACTTCTAAAACTGCCAAAAATCAATGGCAATGTGTAGGGAACTCGTAACTGGCATTACTCCTAGCATGCAAATTTGGCTAAAGTAACATAGTTCAACCTTAAAAAGACCCTAGTATTGTCCTCCAAAGTAATTTTTGTTTGATTGCACTAGGTGGATAGGTTTGCCCATATGTGCAATTTTCCTATGTTGTCTAGTCTGCTTCTCACGGAAACCTGGGTTTCACAGGTAACAAGAAGTGTAGATACTGAACATGGCCAGCTAAGTCCACAGGAGCAAAAGACTGTTGAAGCAATTGTGCAAGCAAGGTTATAACTCGTTTCTTTATCAACTTCTTCTTTGCCAATCAGTATTCTTATATAATTTTTCTTGCAGTGAGTACCCTTTGTCCATTATTTTAGTTGGAGTTGGAGATGGGCCATGGGACATGATGAGGGAATTTGATGATAACATCCCTTCTCGGGCCTTTGATAATTTCCAGGTATGTATGGAATATAGATTGCTTTCAATCTCTGTTTGTGTTCTATGTTCTGAATCTTATTGACAGCAATTATATAAATGTTGATGATTATTTTCTTCTGTTTAGTTTGTGAATTTTACAGAAATTATGTCGAAGAATGTGCCAGTTTCCAAAAAAGAGACTGAGTTTGCTCTTGCAGCCCTGATGGAGATACCTTTTCAGTATAAAGCAACAATAGAACTTAATATATTGGGGTAACAACTGGATCCTCTCCCAGCTTTGCTTTTGTCTTGTCAGATTTTTCTGTTGTCATTCTATTGGCATGTAAATCTGCTTTGAATTTGTGCTAAATTTAGCTAAACAGTTCTCCTTTCATTTGCTTAAGCTGTCGGAGAGGAAAAGCTCCAGACAGGTTTCCTCTTCCTCCACCTATTTATGGTGCAACTTCATTTAGCAGCAGTAGCAACTTGAAACCTTCTCGCTCAAACAGTTTCCAGCAGAGTTCAACTTCCTATGGTGGACGTGATACATCTGCTAGCATGGCTCCCCCATCAAATTCAACTTATGATAACCAGGTAGATAACCATTACTAGAAAACTCTTTTATATTGATAAAACAAGGTATCTTTTGGATTTCTCTCCCCTCCACATCGTGTTGCTATTTGGTTGGGGTTATTGCTGAAACTTGCTTATGGAGGTCTTGGTAGATGATTCTTCTGGCAAAATGATCCAGATAGCCTCATTTCAACAGCTCCAGAGCTCCTGCCGTGTTGCAAAGCAAAAAAAAAAAAAAAAACCTTTTTTATCCGCAAAATTTTAAAATTGAATCGTTTTTATACCTAAATTATTAATCAGTTCGGGAGGAGGTCCAATAAACTCTAGGAGCATAAATCTGTCATGGAACAGGGAAGTAAACACCTTTTAATTGGATGATGTACATTGCTTATGGCTTGGTTGGAGTTAGGGAAACAACACAAAAGTGCCTTGTTTGAAAGTCATACGTATATGGTCCTTTTTAAAGCTACGGCTATGTGAAGATTAATAGTCGTTATTGGGTGCTTGCACAGGTTTGCCCCATTTGTCTTACCAATCAAAAAGACATGGCTTTTGGCTGCGGGCATCAGGTAATCTAATTCATTACCATAATTTCTTCACAAGCTTGAGAGCATAAAGAGAGAAAACTATGCTAACATGGTAGGGGTTTGTCCCACAGACCTGCTGCGAGTGTGGAGCCGATCTTCAGTCATGTCCTATCTGCCGTAGTCCAATCGAAACCAGAATAAAGCTTTACTGAGACCTTTGTTTTAATTAAAATTTCTCAGCTTCCATGATGGTGGTGGCACCAAGCGATCCCAAGATTCTTTGTAAATTATTTTCAGATTTTGGTCGGGTTTTACTGTTAGAAGTTAATCTGGGGGGAAGCAGCAGAAGGTAGGTCGCCATCTAGTTTGTACATTTCTCTAGATTCAAAGTCTTATTCACTAGAGAGCAGTACGCTATTTTCTTTATCTTATTTTCTTGCTTTTGTTGGAATTTGTACGTGTTTATTCTTAATGGGAATCAGGGTATTGAAATTTGGAAGTCTAATAAGTAAAGCTTGTGTTTAGCCGTTCATGAAACAGAAGTCAGTAGATGGAATTTGCTGATGACCTAGTAGAAAGTGGTAGTTCAGTTGGTTAGGTCAGTCCAACCTTCATCCATTTGAGGAGTCGCGGGTTCAAACTTCAAACCAACCCACAACCCACTGAAACAAGCAAGCTCTCCGTGTTGTGAATGTCAAGTGGGTCAAGTGGACCCACGAGAGCGACTCCAGATCTCCTAGCTACGTGAACTCTACTTGGGAATATCTCCCGTCCAGACTGCAGAGGACTCAGCGAGCATCCCTGCCACCGCTACCACTGGCCCCGCCCCCGCTAACTGGGTCTAGCGTATTGGTCATGTGCCAATATAGTACCTTTCATTTAAATAAATTACATTATAAATTTGGAAACCCACAAACCGTAAGTTATTTTTTTAAACAAGATTTGTATTATACTTAAATTAAATTAGAAAATACAAATTATATTTATATCTTCATTGATGTGGTTCGGACTGTATTAATATAAAACTCTTTAGTCTTTTAATTCGAAATAAATTTTATAAAGTTTCCTTTTTCCAATTTCTTTTTATTAAACATAACAACTGATTAAAAAAGATTTCTACACTAGAAATTGTTCGAAAATGCTCAATTTTTTTTTTGTTTCTTTATGAATACATCAATTTATGCATTGTGAAGAATAGGCTAATAATATTTAAAAATTAAATATTGAATATTCTTTTTAAATTCTCCGATAATACACTTGAGAGTTAAGACAAATATTAGACTTAGACATTTAAATGCACATAAGGATCTGATTTTTGGAGAAAGGTATTTCATCCTTCACACATTATAAATGATGGGGAAAGAAAGTAGTTCTTTCCTCTCAACTCTTATCTCTTAAGAGGAATCTTTTAACTTTAAAAGAAAAAGTGGTTATTCGTTTCCTCTTATCTCTTAAAGTGTAATCATGCAATATTTTTTTTTTATTTTTCAATGATGCCTCCAAAAAGACAAACAAAAACTCTCATATATGGGGTCAAAATGAATATTTGATAATTTTCAAAATTTAGAGTTTAGAGGAAAGAAAAATTCACTATTACCAATATACCTCTTAATGTAATTATTGCACTTTTACATGTTAGACTTTAGAGCAAACGAACAGGCCCTGAATGTTGATGGAACGGTTGGGAGGCATTGAAGTAGAGGGGAATTGTAATTTTGACTCAATTTGGAAAGAGTACAAATGCAATGTATATAGTGCAAATTTATACAAAATAATACAAAATACAAAGACCTTAAAGAAAAAAATTACAAAATACAAGGTTTTGCACTCCATATATTTGTATTTATAAATGAACCTCAAGATCATACATAGATGGTTGTAATCATTTTCAGCTTGGCTTGACTAGGAAATTTTGGGTTTGGGCTTATTAAGGCCTGACTAGGTCTAGATCTGGACTTGAGTTTGATACCTCAGGCCTGGCTCATATATATTTTATATAATTATTATTATTATCAATGTTTTCAAAACTTGACCGAATTGAATGATCGAGCAGGAAAAGCTGGGAATTGGTCACCTAACTAGTTTCGTTTTGGCCAAAATCGTTAATTTGGTCAGCAAACCACTGATCTGAATGGTCGAACCGTCAACCTAGACAATGGGTCTAGCCATCCAAGTTTATTATTTTCATTTTTTGTAAGAACGGACCATTTATTTGATTCAAATGATTGGACTGTTGGACCTAGGAACGGGCCTATGGGCCATGACAGTCATTAAAGTAAACTTTGACTAAGAAAAAGAAAGATGAGGATGTGATGAATGCGGTCAACATAGTGAATAGAACATATTAACTATTGCCTCCCATGGGTCAACGAATGAGTAATTATCATCCACGGGATATACCTGTAGACCACTTCTTGAAAGGGAGGTAGCGGGTATAGTCACTATGGTGTAAACAGCTGATCGAACATGTTGGATCAAAACTGAAAAATTGAATCGACCAAAAAATTGATTAAAATCAAATCGAAAAATTGGTTAATTGAATTGACCGGTTTGATTTTGTTTGATGTTTTTAAAAAAACCGAAGGTATCAGTTCAGTTTTGATTAATCAATATAGAAAATCGACAATTAACTGAACCGATCGGTATACATATATTTTTATATTATATATTATAAATTAATAAATATGCATTATATATATAAATATATATTTGTAATATATGATATATTATTTATTAATTAAAATATAATATTATATATTTATAATTTTTTATTATATATTTGTAATATATATTGTAACAATAAAAAAACCAAAAAATAGACAAATCGAATCGATCAATCGATTAATTGATTGGCTTCGGTTCAGTTTCGATTGTTGGTTTTCCAAAAACTAATAATACTGGTTTGGTTATAAAAAAAGGCCCACAGTTCAGTTAACCAAACTGCAAACACCCCTACCTACCCAATTTAGATGCACTAGAGAGGAAAGCATACTTAAGTATTGAAAGAAAGGGCAATACTTGGCTCCTACCACCTCCTGATATTTAGATCTATACCCTAAAATCTAAATTACCACCTCCTGATATTTAGATCTATACCCTAAAATTTTAAAATCTAAATGTTAAACTTTTAAATCCTAAATACTAACCCTAAAACCTTAAAATCTAAACTCTAAACCCTTAAACTTTAAGTCCTAACCCTAAATCTTAAATCTTAAAACCCTAAAATCTAACTCTAAACTCTTAAATCCTAAACCAAATGGCTATGACAGGATGCATGTCCTCCAACGTGGTAGGATCCATGTATTTTTTGTTGAAAGAAACGAGTAACTCTATCTTCTTTTTTTGTTTAATTGGCTTGTGGTTTTTAAAACGAACCTAGGATGCTGCAATTTGCAACCTTTTTTTTTCTTCTGATTAATGATTTTTTTTGAAGTCTAGAGTACTTAGACAGTAAATCAAATATTTCTTTAAGTGATATTATTTTAATTTTTTCCTCCCAAGTCCGAACAGATTTAACATGATTCCTTCGTCCTTTTTGGAGCAGATGAGATGCCAACCACATCCACATGCCCTGAGGAGTAAAGGGTGAAGAGTGAAGACAAAGCGTCAAAAGTTGGCAGCCTTTCACGAGGCTTAGGATAAGAAAAACAGAGCCAGCCAGCTTGCCTTTCCTTCACAAATAAACATTGAGACAAAAATGCGGGACCCCGAAGATCACTTGATTATTGTTTAAACCAATACTGTATCATTCTCTTTCTCACTATTCATTGGTAAACGGGGCCATACTTACCCCATTTTAAGTGAATCAACTATTTTTTGATGATAGGATCTTCAAGAAAAATCTCTCTAAAATGGAGAAATTACACGCTATTGATCTAATCTGATCCGAAAGTGTAGACATTTCAATTTTGAGAGAAATATTTCCTTTTTAGGTGGGATTTCTGTTAAAAAAAAAACCACCATCTCTAAGATGTCGTTTATTTGCTCAGTTTTGAAAGAGTACAAATGCAAATATATAGAGTGTAGAACCTTGTATTTTGTATTATTTTGTATGTATTTATAGTGTACCTATTTGTATTTGAACTATTCCCAAACTGAGTGCTATTACTTTTCCCAAAGGTCTTGGATCTGCTATCTACATCGATCTCTACTCATAGCACATTACAACTGTGCATTAAAAATGCCTTTATCATTATTCATGGCGAGATGTTCTCAATATATACAGCACAATGGTGTCATGTGGGTACGGATGTGGGAACACTTTGTGGATAGCAGAACTAGAATGCAGTGGCAAAACCTTATATATGGTATTTTTAAACCTTGTATTTATAATGTATTTCAAATTAAACTGTGAAAGAACAGGAATACAAATATGTACAATGTAAATACAAGATTTTACACTACACATATATGCATCTTAAATTAAACCATAGTATGTAGATTGAACGTAGAATTCAGTGAATAACCATTGAAAGTCCCTTGAAAAAATCTTTAATGAGACAATAACAGTTCAGCCCACAAGTCAAGGTTTTTCCTTTTTTTTTTTATGTGTACAAAGACTACAAGAAATGTCCCTTGTACACCTATTTATAAATATTGAATTCATCTGAAGAGACTTTTGTGTAGTCAAGAATTTACATAAAATAAATTTTTGGGAGAATGACCGATACCCCAGTGTCAAAATTTGTAAATTTAATATACAATCAAGGTAGATGCCAACTTGGAATTGATGTCAATTTATGCACGGGCGTGGATACATATAGTGTGGGTAAGGGTCCATTGAATGTTTATAGCCTGCAGTGTAAATCGGAAATTTGCAGTGGACAAATCCATACTTTTCCATAAATTTTTATCGTGATCGCACCTGATAAAAAAGGTCGGATGGTTAACCAATAAAATATAAACCATTCAGTGGTCTGAATTAAAGCCTCTTGACCATTTCCCTAGGCAATATCACATGGGTGCGAGCCCACACACTATTATATACTTATCATTTACCAATGACTGTAGGTAGGTTCCTATAAACATAATAATATCAAGAGAAATTAAAACTCGTATTTTATCCACGTGGGGCGTTTATAAAAAAAGAAAAACTAAAATTTTGGTGGAAATTCAAGATTATTTTAGAAAAATTAATTATCATATGAGGTATGAGAAATAAGAAAGAAAAAGAAAAAACAATTAAAGGCCTGATTATATAATTAATCAATCAAAAACCTTTGAAACTTGATTTCTAAGAAGATCAACAGTTCTCAATATTCCATTGTTCTTTTCATAGCTAGAGAACAATGTCATCAAAAAGATGATACATGAAAAGAATGCAACAAAGCAGCAGCAAAGTAGAAGCACCAATGTGAATAGTGAAGACCCAACTCTCTCTCTCTTACATTTAGGGAGTCGTTTGCATAATTATATTCTTCGTGGAAGAAGAGGGACTGGATCCAGTATGCATAACATGGGAAACACATACAGTGAGTATTTTATAAATATTATGACAATTGTTAAAAATTGTCTTTAATTTTTT